GCACTCCAGTCTGGGTGACAGAGTGAGACTCCAACTCAAAAAAAAAAAAAAGAATACACAGATGTTGCTTCTACCCTTGGGATGCTAGAGTAGCACCTGCAGCAAAACCAAATAAAAGAGGGGCAGGGGAGGGTTTGGAGGAGGTGGAGAATGGGGAAGGGGTGGATGAGGAGGAGGAGAGTATGGATGGGGAGGGTAGAGGAGGAGGAGGGAGAGGAGGAAAGGTGGGGCTATTGTTCAGGCACATATTCCTCGATGCACCCCTTCCCCAGCCCCCTGGGCAGAAGGCTGGTTTTTGCTGACTTGAGATACTTTTCAAACCAACCAAAGCCATAAATAACTTCAAAAGAAAGTGGCATCCTGGGGTCACGAGGTGCCACAGTTGAGAGACGCTGCTTCTTTAGTAAAATAAAACACAGTTTGGCACTTTCTGTCAGTGTCGCGAGGACATGGCGGCTCCAGCTGACTTTTGAAGAGTTGCCTAAGTGGAGGAGTGAGGGTCTTCTGGGAAACTCAGGCTCCTGGCGGAGGGTTGTGGTTTGAAAAGGTTCCCACGCAGTGATTTTTAAAAATGCAGTCGCTGCTCCTCCACCATCCTCTGTTATATAATTACTGTGCAACTTTGTCACTGCCTCTTCCAAGACGGATGGAAACTTTCCCACCTAGACCAGCACCACGGACACTTTCCGGGGGGGCTCATTGGCACTGTATTGGCAAAACCAGGGGACCTGGTGCTTTCGACCAAATTAATTTCAGGAAAACAAGCTCAGGGGCCCTCTTCCTTCCTAGGCCTGTGAGCCCTACTCTGGAAGGGGCGCCATAAAGTCAGCATCTAGGCCATGAATGGCTTGAGAGGAATTGCACTCAGTGCCTTCGGAAATGTTTGACCCAAGTGACTCCCACCTCACTGCCCCCAGTTTTGACCTTAGCATTGGCATGTTGGAGCCCAAAGCATCCGAGAGGCTATTTGAGTCTGAATTCTGTGACAGGGCGAACAGAAGCCAATTCTGGATATCTTAAGCAAACATACAAATGTTCTGGAAGGACAGAGCATAGCCCACAGAAGGAGAGGTTGAAGAATCTGCTCTGTAAAAGTGCAGAAGCAGCTCTGGGAAGTCAGGTTTTGTGAATTGTACAGTTTCCTTCGTTTTGTGGCCATCCGGGTAAATGATTCCCAACTCTCCTCAGTTTTGGGTCACTCCGCACTGAGATTCCAGGTCAAGCGCATTCAATGGGTCTGGCTTCCGTGGAGTATCTAACCTCCCCCTGCCAGGAGAGAGGAAGCCTCAGTGACTGATGGTCGTTTCTCCTACAGGGGAAAAGTGGGTCCCCACAAAGAACCCAGGCTGTCTTTCCTCAACTGTTGTGACTCCAAGACCAACCCCTCCCCACCCCCTCAACAGGGGAAGCAGCAGCACTGGGCTACAGAGAGGGGTGGGGAGGTGGGACATGCTATTTTTAGCTCACTATCTTCCAGTTCCACTTCTTATCTTCCTCTCCTCCAAACTATGAATTAGCATACCAGCCATTTGCACACCAGGGTAGCATACGCTCACTCTCAGGAACAATCTGGAATATGTGAACAGCTTAGAATTTTGGAGAAGGGGGAAAAATGAGTAAAAGGCGGGAGATTGGCAGTGGGAGGGGTGGGTGTCATGCCCTCCTTTTGAGCTGTTGGACTGGCTTCAGTTCTCCCCAGAACAGCACATTTCTGATTTAATTTGAGAAAAACTCCAATTATATTCCCACCTTAGTACCTTGAACTCTCAGTTGTGACTTGTTTTAAACGTGAAGAAAACAAAGATACAATAATAGCCAATGACATTTCTTTAATTTCTTTTTCTAGAACGAAACTCTCTGAATTTTTTATTATATCATATAGTGCAATTAGTTGAACATATTTTCTCATTGATGAGACAAACAAAAAAATGAGGGTGACAGAGGTGCAGAGTTGGGTGATACAAACTAACAGCCTG